GAAAATGGAGCAACTGCAGTAAAACAAAAACTTAACAGGGGCAGGTAGCAAGCAGACAGACTGACGGACGATGAATAATTAATGTGAATTATATATTTAGCGTCCCAAACCACACTCCAGTCCACTTGGAGGTGGTGATGCATGTAGACGCTGCTTGACAACTGTCACTAAACAACAAGAAGATGAATGAACTCTAGCAGCTGAACAGAGAGAACACTAGTCTAAAATCCAAATGTACAAAGAACTGAAAACAAGAATAAACTAAAGAACTAGATACAAGTGAATGAACTGATAAGGTAGAATCTTTTGAGTAACAACAGGCTCAAGCTGTACCTTCGTCTTTAAACAGAGCTTCTTGTGGAATTTCAGGTACTGTCTACAATGCTGCCATCTGGACGGATTTTCAAACCAGAAGGTAAACAGGGACAGGAGGGTGACCCTGTCCGATGAGACCCTCCACCTCATTGTGGAGGCTTCCACAGATGTAGCAATGACCATGTTGTAGAGTCATTGATACATAGCATACATTATGACAACATGAAGAGTCTTCCAAGTACATTCCTGTATATTTGTGGTTGCAGTTTCACATTTTGTCCACATGGTGGCTCCAGAGTATTAGAGCTCATACAAAGTAAAGGTCCAGGGATCAGCCAGAACTGAAACTGTCAAGTAGCTCAAGTGAACCTGTATTATCTGAATGTTTAACATGGGAAAGTATGAGATGAGTCTGGTTCATTAAAGTTTGCTGTTCTATTATCAGCTAAAGCAGAGTCAAACTTAGGTTTTTACTTCTTCAGCAGTTTTTTTGTGTTTTAGATCGTCGACCTGCTGACCTGTCACTTCGTTTTCAGCTTTTGTTTGCCGATGCGGCGTCTTCTGCTCTGACAGTCTCCCTGAGGTGTCCTGAAAGTATTCTGTTTGGATTGGTCAGACGGCATACTTCAACTCTCAGTTCTCACCTCTTCATTCAGCAGTGACTCTTGGGAAATGTTATTGCTTTATTGTATCATCATTCCACGACGTAGAAGGTTTATAGTGCTTTGCTACAACTTTTACGTTTTCACATGTGTCATTTCACTCCCACAGGCTTCAATGTGTGTAATTGCAACTTTACATAGTAGAACCAGTTTTGGCTCCAATTCCACCCTCAAACATTTAGAATATGTTGTTACCACCTTCGCACATTTTCAGACTGAAACATAAATTTCAGTCAATCCTGCCACATATTCTCAGTTGGCATTACGTCTTGACTTTGACTGAAGCAACTTTATTGTGCCCAGCTTGAGGCTGTACCACCACCCTGTTTGGTGTGTTCAGGACGTCATGCGGGTTTTGATTTCCTCTACACTTTATGCTTTGCATGAACGCCTTCCTTTACATATTCGCCGTGTCCTCTACACGGCTGGTGGCAAACTGCAAACAGGGCTTGGAGTGGTTTTCCACAGGCAACGGCTTTGTCTCTAGATCCCAGAATTGTGAAGTGGGTAGCTAATGATTGAATGCTAATTTTAGTTGGTCAATCTGACAAAATGCAACTTTTTCATTTATTCTTGAACAACTTTCACCTTCCAGCCTTAAGACTTCTTGTCTTTTCTGAAAAGTCTCTGCCTGTTCAGGCACTCTTTGTATGTTCTCCCTCCCTGTGGCATTGAGATGAATTAGCATGATTCACCCATCAATCACCCAATCAGTCATCTTCATGATTGATTGGATAGTTTCCATCTATGACTAGTTTATCTCGCCAAGGTGTGAGATGTGTGTGAGTGTCATGCAAACACCTTGTCATAAAATTCTATGTATTCAACGCTGCATAATTTTGACCCAGTATGAGTTAGAAATAAAAGCGCCTCCAAGAGGTGAGCAGAAGGGGCCAGGAGCCCCCACAAACCAGCCGCCTGCCCTATAATAAATGAATAAATAGATTATGTATGACATGATAAATACATCTATCAATATGTAGCAGTGATTGGTTGGTAAGCAATTGCTCTGTTGAAATAAATCACATTGTCACTGAAAACCATGAATCTACAAAGTGAACATTTAGAATGTATTATTTTTCCGCCAATTGACTGAACAGACGCGTGAGCTCAGCAACGAATATATTTGCTGTTTCAAATGTGTTTAAGTTAATTTATAATATTTAATGAAATTTTAATAAAAAAAAAAAGTACATCGACAAAATGAACGTTTTCAGGTCAAAAACACATTTTTACTGTTAAATTATTGTGAAAACATAAATATGAAACCAACAATTAGGACATTTATTATCCTTAAATTTGTCTAAATTATTTAACCTTTAGGTTGGTCTCAAGTGTTTTCAGGTGTTTCATAAACCCCTGATTATTGTTTTTTTTTTAAACATTGTTCTTTAGGAATGTGGACAGTGGACTTTGACCTCAGGGTCCGTGACCTCTGTGCTGCTGCAACTTGTTTACCATTGAGATGCTATTTTAGGTTTGAATATATCAAACGTTGCCTGACCTGTGTACTTGCTCTACATTCCAGAGCTCTAGACAACAGGAAGTTGTTTAGTGTAATTCCAACAAGAAAAGTGTCAGGTACCAAGTCAGCAAAATCCTAGTTCATGCAATTTGCTTAAAACATTTTCCTCCTTCGCAAGAATCCGAGTCGACAACAAACCGCATGTCGTCATAACACAAAGAAACCACAATTGCAACTGAGGGCAGTTGTGGTTTTCATGTCCCACTTGGGACAGTGTTGCATTCACTGCAGCCAACAAAAACACAGACACACACACACCACTGCATGCGTGTGTGCTCCTGTGGTCAAACACATTTGCATAGCATTTGGTGTTTTGCGTTGCCTTTTGAACGCTTGTTGACATTTTACTCAAATGGCCCCTTTGAGAGTGAAATTACCCTCAACTACTTCCTTTTCTAGCAGTCCACTCTCTGGTGGCACCGAGATAAGCCGGGTAATTGGCAGTGGGCGCTGTGCCCGTCTGCAGCCAGAGCTGTGGAGGAAAAGCTCGGCTTTTCATAGCAGAGCAGGCAGGGTAGTGAACGCAAGGAGGCGTCTCTGGGATCGCTGTGTGCCAACATACTCTGATGAGAAAAGTGTGTTTCCTGCTATGCAGTCAGTTTTCTCTGTATCCCTGCTGTTTGAGAGCAACAGTTAGCATGTTGTCAGGCAGGAATAAAAGGAAATTCAGTTTGAATTGCAGGTAAATCAGTGTGGTTAATGTGCAGAAATGATAGAAGAGGTTTTTGTGTGTTTGTGTGTGTGTGTGTGTGTGTGTGTGTGTGTGTGTGTGTGTGTGTGTGTTTCTCATGTTTTAGGAAGCTTTTTTTTTTCCCCCAACAAAAACTACATTGTTGCTCCTTATGAGGACTGATGCAAAGAAGTGCTTTTATAGGGCTATGGATTTAGTTTTAAAACAAATCTGTTATTTAGGTTAAGGTTAGGGTAAATAGAAATAAATAAAAAATAAAGGAAGCCAATGCAAAGTCTTACTGTGTGTATGTGTTCACTAATGCGTCTGCAAACCACCGAGCTGCTCTGAATAAGAGACTAAAATAGCAGCATGGATTCTCACCCTTCTTAACAAACCACTGCAGGCCTCACACAGTTCTTACATAACAGCACAACCTTTTTCACACTCCTGATCATAATCTTCAGGACCAGAGAACAAATGACAAGTGTTTCAGTTGTTTTTTTTCTTTTTTATTCCTTGTGCAGTTTCAAAATGCAAAAGGTAAGAACGGGAGCAAGAGACCATGAAATCAGAGGAGGCAAGTTATTCAAAACATTGAAATTCGAACAGGCCGTTGAGTAGCGGGTTGAACGTTCAAGACCTTAAAAAGTCCAAATCCGAGCGTCTCTTATGGAATTTTCTGTCAGGCTCTTAATTTGTCATGACCTCCTGATGACCTTTTTGGCCTGAGGATTCAACAGACAGAGGATTCCAAAGAACACATCCTCAATGCAGATTAGGGCATTCAGTTTAAACAAACAAACTTTCAAAGGTCATGTCTTCTTCCCCACCAAAGATGTTAAGTTTTAAGTAAGTTTTATTTTCAGTCAAGACAAAAAAGAAGTTATCCAGGTGATCCTGTTGGCTGTCTGGAAGACATGAAAGTCCCACTGGAGATGTTTTCTGCATAACACAGAAAACATCTCCGGGATCTGTGAGGTTTTTCCTTCAATAGAACGATGTAGCAGTGAGTGGATGCATCAAAAAAGTTTCTTCAAAAGGAATATCAACATTGTTCGGGATTGTCCTCTGAGATCTTAATCCCAATTAAATCTTAAGAAGACGGACGGCCAAGGAGGTCAGACAAAACAAGGGACATTGAATTTGTTTATATGCTGAATTTAAAAAGGAAACACATCATCATATTAAAAAGGTTTGCTGTACTAAATGCTGATTGAATAAACCAAAAATGTTTTTTCTCACATTATTAAACTTATATGTTGCAGTGATGAGAATATTTAATTTCAGAATTGAAAAAATACAGGTTTTAATATTTATAAATCAGTAGCTGTAAAAAAAACAAAAAAAAAACAATAAATATTAAACACTTTCTTCAGCATTGTCTAAGAGATTAAAAGTAGACAATATGGGAAGAAAAAAATCCTAAATGTTCCATGCACGATGGGATAAAATAAAAATAGCCCATTTATAACAAAATTCAATCGTGGCTGTTTTTGAGTACATTTGGAAAAAATACACCTAGAAACAATTTTGTTTTGTTGCAAAACAACAAAAACAGCTAAAGTTTTTTTTAATCATAATTTAATACTTATGAGATGCGCTCACCTTAAAAGGGACGTTTTAATTATATTATTGTATTTTGGGGGATTTCCATTTCAGTAATTTCCAAGTTGATCCCCCTTGTTTTCTCCCCGTCCACCTCTCCCTCCCCCAAATCATCAAAATCTCACCCACGGCCCCCCGGGGGATTTTGGACCGGCCCTGGTAACTAAAGCAGCGTCTAACACACGCGCACGAGCCCAGGCACGTACAGTAGGCACTACTGTACACGCCGAGCTGGATGGAGAGTTGACTATTCCTCTCGCTGATCTATCCCGCCTGAAACCTCGCGAAGTTTCCGACTGCGCTGGATTTTGGTGGGCAGGCAAGCAGGCAGGCAGGCTGGCAGGAAAGCAGGCACTGAGCGGAGGGAGCAGGCAGAGAGAGCCGTGTAGAGGCGAGTCCAAGAAAGGTGGAGACTCCGACTCCTGGCGAACTTCCTGCACTGTAATCTTCAAGAGAGAGTACTCAGGAGAACTGGACCGCTTGCTGGGACCGGGACGGATGGATCTAAGTCTCGTTTAGCTTGTTTTTCGGCGGTAATTCGACGCACCTCCTCTCCTCTGTGGCCGCCGCTCGCTCTTACCCACCTGGACAGTAGCGCGTGAGCTGTGAGGAAGATTCCCAACGTTTGGTTCTGCGGGGCGTTCCGAGAAACAGGAATGGGTGAGTTCACCAGTGATGTGGCGCTTGTGTTTTGACGCTGTCTGTTTTTATTTTTTATTTTATTACTATTATTATTTTCCCTTATCAGTTTCTAAAAGGCTAGTCGAGCCTGCAGACACACCGGTAAAGCGAGTGTCCGCGTCTTGTAATATATATATTTTTTATCCGCTTGGAAGCCGAGAGTTACAGTTAGCAAAGCCCGAAGCTAGCTGGTTAGCCTAGCCAGCTAGTTGTGTGGTTCACAGGATAACACCAGCTTCATCCCTGGATGTCGTGGTGCTTTTAGCGTTTTTTGTTTGTTTTTTTTTTCAAAGCAAACTTTCTTTAAACTACTGTCGTTTTGTTTTACTGTATCCGCAAGTGAAACCTTTAAGCTACAGAAAAAAGCTCAGAAAAAAGAACCCTGTTTTATTCCCCACCTGACTTTTCTTAGGCAAGTCCGAAGTTTTGTGGATAACTTGGGCACGGAGGGGCAACTTATATGGACTACAAATGTCAACTTCCTCTTTTTGCGTTCGCCTCAAGGCTGTCGGCATGAATAGTTAAATCCACAGACTCGACATTTGGATTCACGAGACAGAAACGTATCTGTGATCACGTCTGGAAGTGGGGATCAAGAGTTGAATGTGAGAAGGACAAACTCATGTTTTTAAACGCATGAATGCTGTTTATGGTGGATGTTGGTGTTTTGCAATGCCAAACCGCAGTATAATCCAGAGGAAATATTTTGATTTGTCTCCCAATTTTGCATCATGACCCTTCCACCCCCACCTGTTGTGTACACCTGGGTGTGCAGGCTGCGGTTACTGTGGCAGGGCTCTCGGAGGCTTGCCTAAGGTGTCTGCTATGTGGTGGAACAGGTTCCTGGTTTGACTGGAACCTGTTCCACCACAGCTGCTGGTATGTTCTGAGTCAAAGTAAGACTTAAGGATAAACTTAAAAGAAATATTCGGGCAGCTTCCTTCCATAAGTGCTGGTTTCTAGTGATTCTGAGAATGTGCTGGTTTTTGTTTTGGTCTCAGATAAGCTTGTTGGGTTCGACCATGTTGGAGCTGTCAGTGTGTTTCTCCCTCTCTCTCCTCAAGCACGGCCTGCCTGGCTGCATCTCACGGAGTCTTTTCTTCCTCCTACGAAAGTTTGCATTTGATCTTCAAGCTATGGTTCTTTTTACATTTTTGGACACGTTTCCACACTCACTTAACCTAAAGATAAATATTCGGTTATTATTCCCCAGGCTGGGATTAGTGATGCATGATAGAAGAAAATCTTGTGATGTCAGTATTTCCACTCCTTATAATTTGGGCTGAAATGATTAATCAGATGAATCGATTACTGAATAATCATTTACAAATTTTCTAGTTCTTTCCTTCCGAATACAGACTCAAAAACACGTTGTTTGTTCAAAGAACACCCTCAGAACAGTAATTAAACCAAAACTCTACAAAAATATATACATTTTGCATATAAGATAGAAAAAAATCCCATGTTTTTCTGTTAATCTATCCAGAACTCAAGTGGCATAGTTTAGCTTTACCTGGTCCAAATTATGTAAAAAATTAAGCACATTGATTTTTAATTATTAATCTGGTAAAACAATAAATAATCAACGGTTCACCTCTATATTGTATCAATGTGGAGCAGAAATTGTTGAGATTTTCACACGTCGATGATAGATTTATTATTTGTGGCATTCTTTGCTGCAAATGGTCAAGCGTCACCAAAGGAATGCTTTTGTTACATTTTCAGGCAATTCTAATTTAAAAAAAAAAAAAGGAATTGGATTATTTGTTCATTTGCGTCTTTTAATAAATTTCTAATATTGTATAAAAAAGGCTTAAGTGGTTAAGTGGAACATTTGTCAATGTGCCAATTGTCATAATAATCTATTACTAAAATAATAGTTGCTGACTCAACTTGACTCGGTCCAGTTTCCTTGTTGCTGTGGCTCTTGTAAGTTGCATCATCTTTAACTGCCAAGTCCAAACTTTGACATTTGAAACTTTAAGTTGCAATTTTATTAAACTAAACATTTATAGTGAATAGAAATTTAATTGATTTCATTATGTTTTTACGTTAATGAAATCATTAATAATGAAATTGGTTCTGTACTTCAGAATCAAACAATAGCACAGTAGCTGCATACTTTCAAAGGGATACAAGGTGTATTTTTTTTACTTTCAGGCACAAATTACTGTTGGTAGTACTTTTCATTTTGTTCCGCATTAATTTCCTTTTTGCCAGTGACATGAGTGTTGCTTTTCCGACTTTTGAGGTGTTTTCTGGAGCGTTCCCTTTGTTTTGGGTGTTTTTTAGCAGACCTCTGAGTCTCGACCAGGCAGAAACATGCCAGCTGCTGCTCACAGGAGAGCCACTGATAAAGTGCCTTTATCGATTTATCTGCCAATATTTACTCACTACTGCTCTACAGATGCTGCAGTACATGATGGCCCATTTGCTCACCACAGACTAGGTTGATGTAGAGTTTATTTATAGCATGTGTTTTACAACTTGCAGGATCCTTGGAAGAAATGCTCCATCAAATCATTCTCAACATGATTTAATAATGAAGATTCGGATAAAGAGTGATGGGTAATAAGGAGGTAGCTTTGCCTCTAAAACAACAGAAGTGCAGAATCTTTTTTCTCTACTTCTTACTTTCCTTTGTTGTTTTCTTTCTTCCTTTCTTTCTTTCTTTAAAACCACAATTGTTTATTTTTTTCGTACAAAAATTTATCCTCATTTCCTTGTGAAACTATTTCTATATGCACATTTTTAAAAATTTTATGCTGGCATGTTGAGGATGTCTAAAAATCTTGAACTCATGATAAAATACATTCCCTCAAACTTGCATTACAAAGTGTGTGTGTATAGAGAAATTGGTCTGTTATTTTCTCTCTCTTTTTTTTTTTTGCAGTTTCATTTTCATGCCTGAGCTCCACTGTATAAAGCAGCAGTTTCACACCCTCCCAGTGTAAATGACACTGTTTAAATACACTGGAACTCCTCAGAAACTCAACAGGAAATGTGGTGTTAATGGGGCCAAAGAATCTGCTTGATTAAAGGGCCTAGATGTGTGAAAAGGAGGAGTTTTGAGTGTAGAGTGTTACCAATCTAGTAGTTAGATTTTTCTTTGACCTACTATGTTTTTTTTCCTCTTTCTTGGAGTGTGGGAAAAGTCTGTCGTAGAATAGATCCACTGTCTCATTGTAACAAGGAACCACGTTAATCAGTCGTCATAACTGAGACGATACAAAATATTTAGAGTAACAGGAATAAAACTACTCTGTTTCCAGTGAGAAAAGAAATAGGAAGTGAATTCTTCTTATTAAACTCAAGTCTATGAATATAGCCTTGCAATACAGTGTACACCACCTACAACAGTCAGATTACTTTCCAGCTTCGACGCAACCAGTTAAGCAAGTCAGAGTTGAGCGGATACTACGTGCCATCTACACTAACTGTGAAAATGTGTAAGATTACATATTACAACTGAAGCCTTTTCCAAATCTTCCTCATTTGAGATTTTTGTCTTATTCTGAATGTGACGAGATTAGAATGCATTTCCTGTTATGGTTATTCATTTAGTTAATCATGAAACCTGGAACCTGTTCCTAACTGCACTCTATATACTGCTGCTCAATGCTATTGTAACAAATGTGTCAAATAGTAATTGAATTGCCCTCTTGAAAAAAGCTTTCTGGATCTGAACCTCTTTAATATTCAATTAGACATTCTCTCTATAAAACTCATAATTCATTTCTCTGTATTTCAGCCTCGTAAGTCTATTTTTCTGCTCATTTCTGTAGGCATCTGTTGTCACTGCATGTTGTTGAGCAACTAACATGAAGGGAGTTAGTTTTTGTTTGTAGACGGCTTGTCAAATTTAAATTGATATGATATGATATTTAAAGCAGTTTGTTGGGAAACGTTCCCAGCTTGCAGTAAAGGAAAACATTTACTGGACTGTCTTCTAACTTTAATCTCTAGATATTAAATACTTAATTATCTTTTCTAGAGCTGCAGAATATTTTTAATCGGTTTTATACAAAATCACAAATACAAAGCACTGCTTTGACTATATTTTGGTAGGTTGATACTTGTAGTGACATGCGTTATACGCACATTTAATTTCTCTTTGAGCTCGTCAAAGTATGTTTGAATGTTCGCTATATTTCGCTATATTATCCAGTTGGACACAGAGTGCAATTGTCCCTGGAGGATGTAAATATTAGTGATTGAGATGTATAAGATCAGCTGAGTTGAAGTGTACTGATTGAGCTTTTATCGGTCCGATAATGATCTCAGGTATTCTTGAAGTCTGACCCACCAAATTTAGATTTTGACTGATTGTAGTTCATTTTTATAAAGGTTGTAACACAAAAGAATGTGGTACAGACTTTATGATAACACAATATCTGTTTCTGAAGCAGTGTTGGAGACAGAAATGCTGTCGATTTATTTCATGAGGCCAAAACATTAAAGAAGTGTTAGTACAATAAGGACCCTAATTTTCACCTGTGTGCATCTTAACATGGAGAACTTGTGTAGGAAATAAACATAGAGAACTGGAGCGTTCCTCTCTCCCTATCGACTACCTCATAGATCAGTAGAAAGGAATGCAGAGTTTCCTCTTTACTGACTGATCCCAGTGTTTCAGACTGGCTGCCAGGCAGGCTGCTCGCCTGCATAGCCTTGTGTAAACCCCTCTCTCTTATCCTTCTTCCTGACTCTGTACCCTGCAACTTCCTCCTTTCTGTCATCCACTTACATAAGATTCTTGCTGTACTCCAGGGTGACCTGGAAGCAGAAGGCTGGGGACAGGAAATGCATCATCATCCCAAGCAGTATTTGTCCAACAAAAGGACAAGAAGCTGTTTTCTGCTCTTTGGACAGACAACTACTATGTTCATACACCACAAACCTGGCCTTTATTGAAGAGAAGAAGAAATATGTAGTTTGTTTGCTGTCTAGACAAATAACTACCTTTTGTTACATACATT